AAGAAACCACAGGCAAAATAGTTAGAGTAAATTTTTACCCTAATCCCATCTAGTTTAGGAAGCACCTAATTAAAAATTTCAACATTTTATTTTTGTACTTGTTTAGGTGTATAAAAGTTATCATCTGTAGCAAATTTTGAATTTTTTTTCTAAAATGATTTCGGAAATATTGAAAAAAAACTATTAAAAGACGCACCCCTTGCGTAGCGTTTTTCGATATATGTTCATAGAAAATTTTTGTTTTAAAAATGAATATTCATCTCCTGTTTAAATTTGTAACAATAAAAAGTATTAAAAATTTATTTTATTTTTTGTTACTTTTGTGAGTTAATTTGTATTTTTTTATGTTTAATTAGGATCTCTCATTTTAATTTAAAATAAAAACGTGTACTTAGAGATTTTTGCTTTTTAATCCATCTTCTTTCATTTCATTTTCATGGACCAACAAGAAACCCCCCTCGAAATAAAATCTTGGTTACGGCCCTGATTTCTTTTCAGATGTATGTATGTTATTTGGAATAGATAAATCTAGCAACTAGTAAAAGACATTTTATAAACTTAAATTATTCGACTGAAAATGGTGAAAATATTGAAAGCTTTTAATAATGGTCATTTGTATAAATATTTAGGTTTCAAACAGTCAAATAAAATTTTACATGGTAATATTAAAGAAAAACTGGTAGATAGCTTCCCGGTAATAGCTTAATAACATTAATATTAAAATCAGAACATTTTTTACTGTTTAGAAAGAGAAAATGGAGAGCTTGGTTTTTTAAATTTATTTAATTTATATAATAAACAAATTTTCTTATTTAAGAGATATTTCTTAGATCAAAGTAATAATAACAGCTTAATTAAAGCCATTTATTTGAATGATAAAAATTTTACGCCATTAAATTTAATTAATCCAACGAAACGAAAATGTAGTTATAAAAAATTTGAAAGAAAAGTCTTTACATAGAAGAGTTTAAAAAAAAAGAATTAGATAATTAAAAAATTAGATATAGATAAAAAAGCTTCACACTTTTGGTTAAGAAAAACGAATATTTTTGTTGAAACCGATCACAAAAAATACAACTGCAAATACAAGAGATTATAAAGAGAAATATACAGGGTGAATATTAAAAAAAAAGATCGTATTTTGAGACCGAAATTTTTTTTTGTCAATTTATGTAGATAGTTGTAATCCTTAGATCATAACCTTTATGAGAAAAATGGTTTTATAGTGGAGTGCCATTAAAAAAATAATTTTCTTTGTAAAACTCAAAAATAAAAAAAATTAAACTTCATTCTTGCTAAAACCTCACATTTTTACAGTACTTTATAATTCATTAATTAGTTTTTTTCAAAAAATAAATAGTTTAAGCAAAAAACGTTTAGTTCCATACTTCTTATT